ATCTTTGCTAATGTTGTAACTGTAAATTTTATTATTATAGGATTACAAACGTTAATAAACTCGTGAACCTCAGGCAAGCGACATGATAAAGTGGCTTGTTACTGTCAATCGTTTTGACATCGTTGGATGACTTTAAAAAAAAAGTTGCTGCAATAATGTCTTTAGATGAATCTTCAAGAACACTACGGGTAACTGTAGTCCTTCTCGAATATTCTTTTAACGGTTCCGAAAACTTTTTATCTACTTCAATTTTATCAATAGAATTCTTATCGGTTATCTGAAGTATTATTATCAAAATATTATATTTTATTCTAGAATTTGTACAAGTACTTCTCGTATATTTCGTTTGAGACGAGTATTTGTGTTTTGTTGCTAGGCGATTAATTTGAGAATGACCTTCGCTCAGTCGTCTCAATGTGAACTCTGTTGGGAGAGGTAACATGTTTTTTATTGCACATATCCCATCGCTATTATCAAACAAGTTAATGAACAAGGTTTTAAAATATCATATTTAAATATGTTTCTGTGCTGTGTGATAACACGGGAAAAAGCTAAACGGTATTATGTCAAGCATATAAAATGCGTTCTCTAATTAGCACCGAAATGCTGTGAATTCATTGAAAATTAAAAATAGACTTTATAAGAGTAAAAGTTTTTAATTAGCAGGTTAGTTAATAATAGTTACCTAGTCTAGTAACACAATTCTTGGGGCGTACAAGAATAGCGATGCGCGGGCCGCGGCCCCGCCCTTGCGTCGATAAGCGTTGCCTGAACGTTCCCTCAAGAATTCTCAAAGGCACTCGAGCTTCGACGCCTTCGAGTGTTTGTTCTTCTAAGAGCTTAGCTGGACGCCCCACACTCGCCAAAAGCTATTACATTTTTATGGTAATGTTTAAATTTTTCATTTGTTTTGTTTTATAAAAATGGTATAACTTCGGGGATTAGGCTGTTTTTAATTAGACTTGCGAAACGCCCATGTTATATGTGCGGTTAACCGTCGGTTTCTGAGGCTAAAAACTCCGTTGAAAACATATTGTTGTCACTGTTTTGTCAAAGATAATGATAGGGATGATATGTTTTGAACAGAGATTTTAGGTTAAGAAACCTACGTGAATTTTATTAACGATACTGTTTAAGTACTCATCAGATGAATTTCCTAAGATATAAGATTCCTTTCGTAGGCTTGTCAAAATTGTTACATGAACAACTTCATACATACGTCTGTAACTATTATCCCAGTCTTATCTTTTAAATGTAAAATGAACATGTCCGCATTTTAGTAAACTTAAGGTGGAACATAGCGTCACGAATTTATATGTCTGAAAGGCAACTTTATCACGAAGTATCATTAACTTGTAGCGGTGTTCTACAAGGCTTAGAAAACTAGGAAACACAATGACACAATAATCAGTTGGTGGTAGTTACGTTGACATTCTTATACTTTTACAATACAGTTGTATCTTAAAGATAATCTCTTGAAATTATTATTTCTTAGCCAGAAACTAACTCTTATCTCATTTGAAGTTATACGTCACAAGCAGCTTGCGAAGCGATTGTTATCATTTTCTCAGTCTACCATTACAATGGAGGAGGATGAAAGGACTTACCAAAATACTTTTATACAAGAGTTAGCGGTAGGCTTTTAATGACCTTTACTACTTAAGAACCCACTGATTTAAAACAAGAGTTGGCGATAATGTCATCTTCATCTCTCTCAATTTTTTCTTAAAACAACTGTGATAAATAAATGTTTTTGTATGATTGTTTAGGCAATGAAAACCCATTATTAAACTGATCAAAATGCAAACCGTATTTCGTGCCGGCGGTGAATCATCGCCGCATGGTACGAAACCCGATCTGAGCAGGATCGTTGTACCAAGTAACCGCACGTTTGCACTCGTTATCGTAACTGTCCTATAAGCTTACTTGTGGTTTTTTTGTATGTCTAGTAAAATGCCTTTATCAAGATTTGTAGGAAAAACTCTAAAAATTAAGCGTGATGAATATTTAGTTCTGTAAGTACAACCTCCACAATCTTAACAATGTAATTCCATAATCGCTAGACGTATCTGGGTCAAATTTTGAATTAATATATTTAAAGTCTAGGATAGCGAATAGGCTAATAACTCAGCGTTTAACGATTAACGAACATTAACGAATTCCAAGATTATTCAATGTTGAAAATTTTGTTGAGGAGATATTTTCATATGAATTCTTAGACATTTTTATAACTTAACACCTGTTGCAAAAAATGGTTGTTGATAGTTTCGCTTTAAAATGAATCAATCGATTGACATTTCATTCAATAATATTATAATTTATAACGCGTCTTGCAGTTTTACCGTATTAAAACAATAACTAAGAAGTAACGTGTAAGAGAATAGACTATTGTTTACCTTTTAACAAGCAGAGGTTCTAAAAATCAGGCAAATTAATTAATTACACGTGTTTTTTAAACATGCGAGTTTTTTATTCTTGTTCATCCATATCTTCATAAGGCCGATATACACGGACTGCATCAATGAAATGTGAATGTAGATTTTATCAAAATTACATAGTTCACGCTTTATTTTAGTTTAGTTAATCGGACTTGCATTGCGGACACAAACAATTTATATATGATACATATCAAAAAAGTTTCAGCATTAATGTTCATGAAATGATTTCATTATAAGAGTTAATAAGTTGACGTTATATCGAAGTATTTCCATATTAAATTACCTTGTACCAATTTTACACAAAATCAATTGATTATAACTTGCTTATCACAAAACTTTTAAGCCTACAAATGTTTGCTCAACTGGTTTATTCAGCAAATAATTTTAAAAACTTCTTAAATGAAATTACTATTAACAGTTCTGTCGGATTTTAATTCCGACTCCCGAAGAGTATTCCTTTTAATAATTTATTAACGGTAACTCAGCATTAGTTATAAATTATGTCAGTTAATCTCTTGTTGATCCGGATTAGTAGAGGCAAGAGACAGGCGAAGCTAACTACATATCAGATAAACGTCTGTTGTCAACGTAGGCGGCCTGTTTATGCTAAACCCTAGAATATTTATGATGTTCATGTTTTATTACTCTTAAAGAATCGTATTCTTTGAACCTACCTGAATAAACCTAATATTCTACCTACAACCACACCACAGATTCCAACACTTGCAACATTTTTATGATGTTGGGAGCCAAAAATTCATACACTTCGAGTATTGAAATTATGTACAAGTCCAAAATATAATATTAAAATGATTAATTACTTAACAATGATTATGAATAAGTTAATTATAGATTTGTCAAAGCCAAATATCAAAGTAAATATTTACAAAGCAAGCATTATGTTTGATTGTGTAATTAACCGTAATTAATAGACCGGGACTTTAGTATTGAATGTAGGTGGGTTGTAGGTTTCAAACGTACACCCACAAACCTGAGTATAGCTTATTGTGTGCTTAGTACGCCCACTCTACTCTAACTTGTTGCTCTATGGAAATAATCGTTTCTAGTATATGATAGACGGACGGGTGAACGTAGACGTTTTAAATTGTTTTCCGCCTACGTTCGCTTCGATGCAATTTCTTAGCCCTTTATTCTATTAAATTTATATCGCAATCGGAAATGCCAATGTGGAATGGATCTAAATTTATCATAGATGATAATACGAAGAAAAAATTCTTAAGTTAGGATTCTTCCTCTTTTCCGGGGTTCGTCAAAATATGATTTTGAATCGGTTCGAGAGAGTTCCCTGTTGTAATCAACTGCTTATTATAGAGGTTTTTCTCTATTTTTACTATAATATTTAGCTATAAATTGCACAATTACTAGGTCAATCTTATACCACTATAGAAAATCAAAACAATGAATTCTTAAATATGAAAACGTTTTGATTTCTTGTTTTAAATGTTCAAACATTTTATTATTGGCAACGTACGTGCTCACCATCTCACAAGTATTCATTCACGGCGTGGGATTTAGTTGAAGCTTTTTTATTTATTTCTACTATTATTAGATTGTTCACGACGCAGTCGCTCATCGGAAATGTTCACAGGCGTTCAAACAAAAAAATTCCATTCTTTTATAAATAAACCTTTTTCAAACATAACTTTTTTACACTCTAGTGTATAACCATATTTACCGTGATATTTAACTGGACTGTTACTTGTATAAAAGAGAATATGAGGGGTGAAAAATATGTTTTTTACGAGTATGTCAGTGGAAACCTATTCTAACATTTCTCACGATGTGAATCTCTACCACCCACGACGTGGATGACACCGTGTTTAGTCTTACTACGTTCATAAAAACGCCTTCGGCGTAATGTAACAAGTGAAGCGAACACAAGTTTAGCATTTCCTTGCTAAACAAAAGTTTCAAATGATAAGTGTTATTATCATGCGTCATTGTGTTTATGCGTATGCTTCAGGCTGACAGTGATTAGAATTTTAGAATAATACGTATTAAACTTTAAGGTATTGTAATGATTACATTTAATGCATAAAAGTTTTACATTTTTTACATTTATAGCATTAACATTATTAATGTAGGTCTCGTGGGAGAAGCCGGCCTCATATTTTTTTGACCGTAACGTCAAACGTCTCATTTATTAATTGAGATTTACAAATGTAATTATTATGTGCATATGTTTACCCGTGGTAAACATATTATGAAACTTATTATAAATGTTTTTATAAAAGTTGATGTAGCTTATAATTATAATTATATTCATTCGGATTACATATATTCAATCATCCTAAAGTTAAGCGAAGTTCGATCACAATAATTACAGAAACTTTTCACCAAAGATTGTAAAAAGTTTCCAATGTCTATGATTAAATATTTAAAAAATGTTCAATTAACTTGTTACGTGTTTTAAAAAGTTTTATAAGTTTGAATATTTCATCAATGCAAAGTTGGCAACCCTGCGCGTGCTATGACGCCAGCAGGCGGCTGGCAACGTGACGTCGACCGCGGCCGCCCGCGCTCTGACCGCCGCCGCCGGCACCGCCATTCGCCAGTCTCTGCACGCCCGCGGCACGGACAGTGTCGACCCGTTGCGATGTAAACGCCTAACCCAACTCTACTGTCTACGACGACAGCTACTGCTGCGCGAAAGTTGAAGTTTTCCCGGCTCTACTTGTGTACCCATAACTTTGTTAAAGTGCTATCATCCGCCCATATCGGACGCATGTAAGTGATGTTTTTGTGTCACCACTAGTCTCTGGAGGCGCTGAGTTTACCGAGGCCGAGAAATGAACACGGCACATGTGACGAAACTCCGACGAAAGTAGAACACAACTGGGAACGTATAGTAACTAACCGGCCGTATTTTGGATATGGTAAATATACGTGACGTGAACACGACCTAATGCACTTTGTCAAACTTTAAGCTCGGTTTTTGAGTTTTATAGCACATCGTTCTTTTAGACGTTTTCTTAGTTTGAACGCAAGCAACAGGTGTCCCGAGTACAAGGCGACACGTATACGCACGCTTTACGATCATTGTTCGATAGTTACCCGCTCTATCTTATCAATTCGGTGCGCCGTTACCAGTTTGTTATAGAAAGCGGTGGAACATGTACAACACCGATAAACCCGTACACAGGCGTTGTTATTTAACATGGGAAAGTCATACTTTTAATTTGCTAATTCCATTTCTGCCACTGATAGCTCCCGACGCTAAACATTTAGCCCACTTTCATGTAGAGCTCGCTCGTTGCTCGCTCGTCATTTCTTTTTATAGAACAAAATAATTCGACCCGGTGGGCGTGCGATTGTGTCCATTTTAATTGACAAACACAATAAGCTTAACTTCAATTGTTACGCGTGCACTTCATTTTTGCCCACACTAAAGTAATTCATTTGATTTTTAGGTGTGGTTAAGTTATTCGTATGTTTTTATTATACATGTTTGATTTCTCGGCCTAAGTAACATGTTGTTTTGAGCTTTGACCTCGAACAAACATTGATATCGTTATTAGTTATGTGTTTTAAGCGACACGATTTTTTATGTAAATTAATTTAGCGATGTCTGGCTTCCTCGGTGTGGGCTTATGTCATTGCCAATGTCATTATTTCACGGTCGAAGTTAATAGCCGTGATTATAGTCTCCTTGAGACTTGCTTTATGTTTTAAATTTATTTTAATGGACGAATTGTATACAACTTTTGGGCATAAATACATTTGTACGTACAATTTAAATCTACATTGAGAAGGAAAACTCATTTGTGCAAATATTTTTATTTTATCATTTATTATTTATGGTTTTGATTCACTTGTTTATTATTGTGTTTTGTCCTCGTAGCATGTTTTTTCTGTAATACAGCGAAAAAAGTTGAACAAACATAAATTTATATATTTTATTAATGGTTTAAAATGTGTTAAATCTTGAATTAGCTATTTTTTACTATGAAATATTCAGTTCAATTTAGGATAATGTGAAAGCCCTTCGCTTATTTCATCTGTTTTTGGATAAGTATTTCTCATGTTGGCATTTGGCATTTAACAAATATATTTACTGCACATATAGGATGTTTACTAAAAATAAATAATCTATTTGTTTTATGTTAAAATCACTTGAGTCCGTACAATCCTGGTGGTAGACAGAAAATTATTTACACGATCGTATAGATCCTCATCAGTTATTTCATTCGAAAGAGGCTAAAACCTTTTTTCCAACTTCCTATGTAAATGTTTTTGATATTTCTTATATGTTCGTTATATCTTGTCGGTTGTCTTCGTCATAATATGATGTTTCTTTTAATCGCTTCACTTGATGGTTCTAGCTACAGTTTCTAATTTCAAGTTGGATAAGTACAATTCTTTTAGTGAAATAAGAAATATTGAATGATAAAAACTCCGTTAGCATGCGTTTGAACACGCGACCTCGATGTTAATTATACGTACAAAAAGTATTGGTTTTTATGAAAATACACGCAATTCTACATTCAATATTTTGTTTGTAAGATTAATAAATTTGTCGTAAAGTCAAACTGCTATCATTACTTTGACTAAAAATATAAACTATGTTTTAATAGGAACAGTAAATCGTTCACCTACCAGCTGTATAACATGGCCTTAGACTGGATCAAGAGTAGTGCTCGAAATCGTTTAAATAAAAATAGTCTAAAACTAGAGTAGAAATATCAATTTGTGGCAAAGAATAAGGTTGTCCTATTCAGCGTAGGCAATCTAGATCAGGTACAATTACCTGATCAAATGACCATAGATCATAAAATCATTTTTTAATGAAATTATAGGCAAATCTTTTAATTTTAACACAATTATTAGGTACGTTCAACATTTTATTTTCCTTATTCTTCGTGGAATTGTTTAGTTGTGCGTAAATTCTTTCTCCATGAGTAATCGTGTGTGAACACCGCGTCATTCACCTGTCCTGGTTGTGTGTTTTGTTTAGTCTTAATCTTTGTGTAAACATTTCTATTATCTTGTACAATTCCTTAAGGTTTTTTTAATATGTTACACGCAAGTTTATTTTAAAATTACACATATCGATAGTTGACCTTTGTAATAAATACAAATATTTACGCGGTTAATACTTTAACAGTAGGTCGGTCTTATGCGTAACAATGTTTTTGTGGAATTGAATGAATTTACTGAAATTGTTACCCTAATCTCTTGTCAAGTGAGAACACAAAAAGTTCTGAATTGTCTCTATTGAAAAGGGTTTTTATTATTTCTAATGTTTACCCTGTCCAATATCATGTTTGGATTTGTATTTTAACTCAATTTTTTTGGTTTTTCCAAATTTTAGATTTGAATCGATTTATTCAATAAACGATTATTAAAAATTTAAGAAACGCTACAAAGTCGATTACTAGCGCGTCTCAATTGTTCAATTCAAACTAGATTGTGCACTGGGTATTGCATGTTTCAGACATACAAATATCCAATTTTTAGACGTCTAAACATGATACGTAAATAGGTGTTTGACGCCATCGTCAGTGTCCTAGCATTAACAGAACACGACGTGCGCAAGCGCCGTGATCTGTTTGTTAACATTGTCGCAAGTGTGATTTTTATTTTGCAAAAATAGATCAAATCATGCTAATATTGATGTCTTCATTCGACCTTGGTACATCATTTGCGACTTAATTTTTTATACATCTGCATCGTACTGCGCATTAAAGACGTCATGTTTTGGTAAACAGAATATTTAAGTGTAGCATCAGTATTTCGTGGAAGTATGTCAGTCGTAATAATAATAGCGTGTTCATTGAATGTGAAACGTATCAATATTTATCACTAGTCCATGTATCTTGTAACTCGGTAATTATAATTTACAGTTCAAAGCACGTTAGCTCAACATTTATATAATGTTCAGAGCTAAGCTGTCTATCTGGTACGTGACTGAAACACAAGCAATCTGGCGTTGGCATTAATCTCAGCAGTACCAACATACAGACGTACGTGGCACTGACCCTCTTAGACAAATATGTCGCGGCAGATTAGAATTTTACCATTTATGTGTAAAACACAGAGTATTTAACACGTTAACTGCAATGTCGGACTATATGGCCAACAAGCTAATGTTTCAATCAGGCCGTGTCGGACTATGTGTCCGACAAGTCATACTTCCATTCAACACCTCGCTGTGACTTTTTAATCGAATTGTTGTATACAAGTGACCCGCAAGGACCCATTGAAATGGTTTTGGACAAAATTATAAAAAAAAAATAGAAAAATCATTCTGGCAGCTAACGTGTTAACGATTTGAATGTTCATAGAGCTTGTCTGTAACTTTTGAGTTCTGGTTTAATTCAATGAACTCGTTAGAATCGTACTACAGATCACAACAAATATTTTTAGTTCTGTTTTTTTTTAAATACGAATAAAGGCCGCAAATGTAGCAATAAAATTCACCCGAGAAATGTAAACATTGAAAAGATAGAAATAAATAGTAAAGTGGTACGTCAAGGTAACGAAGTAGTTTCCTAGAAGCGTTGCAACGACGGAGAAGCACGCTCGTTATACTATTGTGGGACTGGCCTCGGCCGACACTTCCTCAAATGCATCAATATGCTGCCAGCACTTGAGTTGCTAGTTCCACAGACATGCTTCCTTAGTCGAAGTAAGTCATAAAAACTGAGGTATAAATTACGTAAACTCCCAAAATAATACATCTGGAGTCATATACATATATTTAATAAAAGGATTTCTTAATTGTATGTTGTATTTGTATTTCCACAATCACATATGAACACGATTGCAACATCTTTTCAAATAATTGCATATAAATACGCTAGATTTTATATCTTGTAAAGATTTTTCTATATAAATGTATAAATTTTTCATGTCGATACACAATATACATGTTTTTTTAATGGGATCACTTTGGTTTATTTTTATTTTAGAATAATAAGACTTAATAATATTATAATTTGCAATAAGCATAGTAAAATAAACACTGCAACTTTGTGCATGTTATTCGATATACCGCGTAATGTTATAATCAATACTCTATTATATCAACCAAGGTCTTCGAAGTATCGCTATTGGATGAAATGTAGATTAGATATATATTTTTTTAATAATGAAAATTGCATCCATAAAATGTAAGGAACCTACTAGAATAATATGAGAGATAATTTTAGAACGTAAATTGTGTTTATTATTGCTCATACTACAATAAGAATGTAGCATTTTACAAAGAAGTCAATAACAATCGCTATATTTTACCGTTTACAGCTTTTAATTGCGACAGGGTCAAGCCTGTACGTAAACCTGGCACAAAGGAAATAAAACAATCAATCAGCCAACGATACATGATTCGTGAAATTAGTTGGCGCCTACCCGATAAACGATGTGTCGCGGGCACGTGGCCCCGATCTGCGGCGTACGTCTATTGAATTCACATTGTCTGCCCATAACAAGCGACCGCCAGCGGTCAGCAGGCTATTGATAGATTAATAACATCCGTGCTCACATCCGAATGCCCTTGCTTATGCACTGTTTATAGAGCCGTGTGAAAATATTTTCAATCCGTCCTTTGTTATCGATGTCGTCACCCGTTCGCAGCTACCGTGAGCTCCAGCCACCTTGCAAATGATTGTACGTCCATTTTCGGTGAAGTACCCGTTGCTGTACGATTTTTATCCTCCGTACAACGAATCATCAAAAATCCTAGTAGAATAATATCAATAGAAAGATGGACTATATTTTACAGGTATAATGTTAGAAATAAATTATCATTTCGCCTTTGATTGAGCGGTTTAGCACATGTTTATTGCACAACTATTTTCAACTTAAAGAGCACTTATCTCCTCCACCATCAAACGATTTCTTCACTTCACCATGCATAAAACTTAAGATGGCAATAAGCAGACAATGTGAGTTAAATCGTCTGCATAGTTTGCACATGTGCTGGCAGTCTGGAGTTTATCGAGCGTCCCGTCTAGTCGACATTCTCCAATCTTTGCCTCCAGACTCTGCGTTATCGAACGAGACCCCAACATCAGAGGGGCTGACATCTTATCTTTTATATATTGTTTGCCCAACCTTTCCTGGCCGAATTCGATTGCAATTTCTGATTATTTTATATAATTGTTCAATATCTAAAAGCTAAATTGGAATATAAATAATTCGTTGATTTATTTCCATATCTTTGTAAGCGCTATCATTATCTTTAGATTTAGATATGTATCTTATAAAGACAAAAGAATTCCGCGATCGTAAAAACTTCGTTGTAATATTTTTAATTAATTTGATTGATTGTTCCGTAATGCCTCGTATTTATTGCTCCCGTGTTGTTTTTTAACCATGATATACAAACTAACACACTCTAAACTACAGTAAACTTTGAGTTATTAGGCAGCCATATATTTCAGTGATTTAAAGACGCGAGATGGAAACATCAACATGATTCTAACTTTTCTCTTGGCCGGATCCCAAGTCTGCTTTCCGTCGCTCCTCAAAAATCTCAACGAAAATAAATATGTGCCGAGAAGTTGTTTTCGTTGAAATGTCGGTGTGCTAATTGCGATGGCGGTTCATATAGCTGCCAGTGTTTCTGGCTTTATCAACGTATTAGAGAGAAATGTGTAAATGTAAACAAGACGCGGTGGCTACGCGCAGCGACAGAGTACCGCTGCCAACATCTGTTGCGCGTTGGCCCGACTCAGTGGCGCGATGCCCTCGTTAATCGTCGCCTCTCACACTACTCGGCGATAAAATATCCTTCCAAAGTATTCTCGGTACCTCAAGATGCCAGTACGATGTCTGGCGAACGATATATACAAGTCGGTGATCTCGCCATTATGTCCGTTTTCTTAGAGACGTGATCATTAGTGCCTAATTAGAGCTCATAAACAGATTGTGTAAATTTCACGGTATCCCATTAAGTTGTTCGGTTCATTAAAAGTAATAATCATTGTGTAAATATAATAAGTGAATTTGTCGGCAGACAGTTATTGTATGTACTACTTGCGTTTATGGTGTTTATGTTTTGAGTGATGCGGCAGTGAATGTCGGCATAAGTTGAAGCACTAAAGGCTCGGTTGTGTTGTTACAGCTGGGCATTTCTTCTGTGGCGACATTGATGGAGTTCCGCTTGGACAGCGCGGAGTACTGCCAGGCCCAACACAAATAAAGTGCGGGCGTGTGAGCGAGAGCGTAGCGAGCACCCGCGGGACCCATGCGGCCGGGAGCGCGCCCAGACACCCCTTACACACGCTATATGTTGCTCATACACCCACAGGTAAACTAACTATTCCTATTTGTATTTCAAATCATCATCATTAATTTTGGAACTTTGATGTATGTAAATCTGACGATCAAGTTACTCTATAATAATAAGAGTAGCTTTTAACATTAGTAAAGGCAAATGCTAGACATCCATGGTGTGTGCGTTTAAATATATTTACTGAAAACCTCTTAACAGGCCTTCGTCTTATCACATTGTTACTGAGTGGATCGCATGAGATGTTTAATTAATACGTTCCGATGTTCTTTATTGTGACCACAACGAGTCCGCATTTATCGAAATGCACACAATGGGAGCGCTGTCGGCTGTCGCTGTCGGCCGTGTTTACAATAACCGTTATCGCACGATTGTGTGCCGACTGGCAGCGGTGGAGCTGGCACAGGACACAGCAGCCGCGAGCCGCACTCCCCGCGCGCTCACATGACGGCCACGACGCCGCCACTCCGTCGCACATCATCTACTACTAACAAAACTTGGCTATTTTTATGAACAAATTCTTAACTCCGCTCCGCCGCTCCCCGCCTCAGTGTCCGCCGCTCCCCGCCTCAGTGTCCGCCGCTGCTTTGACGCAACCAAAGTCGAAATGTCATCGCTCATTAATCAAACAGACGCTTTCCCAGTTTTCCCGACTCTAATTTTTTTTAAATACTTCTGTTTCAGCTTCCTTAAATCCGAATCCCGCTGCTGATTGGAGCATATCATCACTCTCAGTTGCCGGAGTTCAACCGAAGAGGAATAGAAACAAACCAACTTATGTTACGCGGCTGATTCCTTATTAGTTTTCGATCCCCATTCTGAACCTTCGTTTGTCCGTCTTCGAATGTGCCCGAGCGTTTGAAGGCGACATCCATGCGGGTGGTTTTCATTATATAATTGGACCCTTTTTAAAGAAAAACCTCGAAACTGAAGTGTGTTGTGTGGAAATAGAGTGACAATTTGCCTGTTAGACTCTGACGGATACCTGCACGTTCTGTCGCGAGTGAAGTGAGGCCACCAGCTCGGTGTGGGACATCGTATCGTATAGCTGAGACACGCCACCAGCAGTCATGAAGCAAAAGGACATCCGGCCGGCGCCCTCGCTCATCGAGTACAAGAGCATGCGCTTCCTCATCACCGATCGCCCCTCTGACGTCACCATACAGTCTTATCTGCAGGTTAGTTATCAATACCACCTTACTATATTCCTTCGATTTAACTTACTAACAGTTATATAAATATAATTTTATTTAATAAAATTATTTACCTATATGTAGTATTATTTCAAATATATAGTTGTTTCTATAGTAAGTTACTTGATGAACAAATCAACAGTTTATTAAACGTAATAATAGCACACAGCGATAACTTTGTTTCATAATTAACAATTGAAATGTTAGAATAAGCTATTCACTAAAAAAAGTAGCGAAATCAATATTATAAAGAGTTTAAAAAAAAATTGTATGACGATGCATTTGTTGCCGTGCGCCGGAGCACGTATGCATAGTGATGTCTTTGAAGCTATCTAATGTGATATGGGTGCGGCGAGAACAATCGCTCCGATGTCACTCCACCTCCAGTACCGTTTTATTCGAGCACTTATATAATTGGAGTACTTATAAACTCGTACTTGTAGATATAAGGAAAATATTCAAGTTGTTGTTGTAGATATAGTTTTGAGTTTTACGTTAAAATTTCACAAATAAATTGACTGTCAAATTTGCGCCTATTTTCTTTGGCTATACATATCAAAAAGATGGACGTCATCAGTACATGAATGCCGCTCTAGTATGTGATTTTTACCATCACGTGTCGCTGGGAAATTTCTCATCGCGCGCTTACTGACATTAAAATAGATATTTTACTTTATTTACAACTGACAAAGATGATACCGAAGTAGTCAATGGGAGTCTACCTTCAGGGGTAGTCTTTATGAGAGTAGTCTGTAGCTATCTCCAGATGATAACGTATGTTATGTTGGTGTCAGGAGTTGCGCAAGCACAACGTGTGCACGGTGGTGCGTGTATGCGAGCCGAGCTACGACACGGCGCCGCTGCGTGCGGAGGGCATCATAGTGCGCGACCTCGCATACGACGACGGCACCTTCCCGCCGCCCAACGTCGTCGACGAATGGTTCGAGATCCTGCGCGACAAGTAAGCAACTTTACATCGCAATCATTACAATGCAATGCCGAATATTAACAACTGCTTTACAATGCAACCGGATAAGAGCAAAATGTTATCTTGCACGTTTCGAGCTTTCATTTCAGTTTTCTTCTAGGGTAGAAGAAGCAATCACCTTATTTTTGCATACATGTAACAAGTAAATTCAAGTTCAGTATATTGATGGCCGCGTGCCCGTGTGTGTGTTCAGTGCGGCCCAGAAGCCCGAGGCGGCGGTGGCGGTGCACTGCGTGGCGGGGCTGGGCCGCGCGCCCGTCATGGTGGCCATCGCGCTCATCGAGCTCGGCATGAAGTACGAGGAGGCCGTCGAGACCATACGCGAGTCAGTATACATTATATTAAAACTTACTACTGGGTTAACATCATCCTGTCGATTGACACAAAATTCTGTTTTTGCTCTCATTATGGGGAGAATGGTGGTCGCCACGATTGTAAGTGGCCGATATTCCACCAGTGATCTACGAGGCATTATAATAAAATATTGAATGATATTTGCAGTCAGCGTCGCGGCGCCATCAACGCCAAGCAGCTGTCCTACCTGGAGAAGTACCGGCCCAAGTCTAGACTGAAGAAGAACGGGCACAAGAACTCGTGCTGCGTGCAGTAGCGACCGCAGCCGCAGCCGACAGCCGACAGCGAATGTAGCTCTGCTTTCACACACACACTAACACACGGAGCACAACCAACTAGTATGTAATGTAGCCACACAACAGACCGCCAGACCCCCCCCCCTCTCTACCTCCCCCCACCCCACCATCTGTTTCCCAACAACGTCCAAAACTCATGCAAAAAATCAGCTCATATTCCAAGGGATGGACAATTTTTAGTCTTTTATTTGTTCAATTTGAATGAAATGCTGTGAACTAAACCTTACGTTTGTTTTTGAAAAACAATTTTATTTCTTGGATGTTTATTTTGTCAATTTGAAATATCGTGTGGATAGATTTAAAATAACAGTAATGATTTGGTTTTAATAATAATTGTGCATCCCAACAACTAGGAATTTGGTACCGACCTCGTCGCTCCGTCTTGAAATATTTTCACTTTTTCTATGAATTTTAATTACAATTAGGAGCCATATTAACTTTTGTATGGCGTGTGTATGGCGGCCGTGTATGACGCCACACATTGTGTTCACATCGACCGCTCGCTCACTTCGGGGACTTCATAATAACAATTGCAATATCCATAATAACAATTGAGTCAGATTCGCGTACCTCCTTACATTAATTTTCTATTTTATTATTTCTTTGTGTGTTGACATTATGATGATTTTCCTTTGTATAATTTTATTATTTTCATTTATTTGAGACTTGTTTATTAATAAAATGTGACATAATAGATGATGATAAAATATTTTGTGTTTCATATCGATTTGATTATTGCCTGATCGTGAATATAAATTTATTTTATGTGCTTTTGTGACGAAATATAATATTAATTAATTAGATATTGTTTTTTCGATGCCGTGTAATACATTTTATATAGGATTCGAAATTCTCAAACCTTTGACTACGATGCTAACTTAACTCTGTAAAAGTTCCGACGAGAAATAGCTATTTGATATTATTTTTCTATTTCTAATTTTATGATGTTTATCGAAATATATGACTGTGTAACCACGGAACAGCCACATTCATGAATAAAAATATTTATAAGCAAAGCAAATGGTGTTTTATTTCTGTTCTTGAATAATCTTAATACAATAATAATAAACAAATACAAATAATTTTGTCGTCGCCCACGACTCCATCCTCACGGATTAAAAAAAATAGTTTGGAAGAACATGTAGGCTACTTATTTTATTCTACATCTGTGCCTAACTTCATCAAGATCCGTTGAGACGTTCTAGAGATACTTTCTAAACATCCATACATCCGGACTCAAAATATTACTAAAATTGTATCCTTTTATTTTCAGCTGTTTAAAATTTTTAAAACGTCTCAAAAAGAAATTGAAATAAAAAATTGTATAATAATTAAAATGTTTATTTTTAAAAATTAAAAAACATTACTTTGTACTTTCAGATATATTAAAAATTAAAATTTACGATTATAACTATTTCAATGCGATATTAAATTGTAAAGAGAAGTTATTAACGCCGATAGCAATTTTACACTAAGAAAACTGCTAAATTGTAGTTTTTTTATCATTAATTATAGTAATAATATTACGAATGAATTACTTAACTAATTCGATGTACATTTGAAAATTGAATTTTTTTACAGCATACCAATTACTTAAATATTTTTTGTCTGCCAAAGACACTTACACTTACCAAAAAAAATTAAGTGCTTATAAAATATAGACATAGTAAACTATAGGTACCTCAAATATTTGTCTTAACAATCTTACTCATCAAATATTAAAACAGATCATCAATAATATTAATAATAAAACATTTTACAAAAACTTAATAATTATGACAACATTAACCCTTAAATATTTAACAAATGTTATAATATTATTTTTAACCGACTAACAGAGTACTATTTTGAGTATGTAAATCTACTCAATTGAGACCACCTGCAGCCTAAACTTATCTAAGCTAATTTTATACTGGACTCCATCGGCTAAGTGCTAAATTTATTGCCAACAAACTTAATCCAATTGGGCCGATTGACTCTATAGAATCAATAAAAAATTCACATTGGACCACTTGACTGTCCCAACAGTAAACAACCTTCTTCTCTGATGGCCGTAGACAAAATTACTATTAAGAGGTACAGTCAGAGCTTGTTGGTTATAATTAATTATTTTTGTACTTGTGTTGTTTCCCGCCGTAGCGCGCGACGAACGCGGCGATGTCGAACTTGCGCTTGCAGCCGTTGTAGTTCATGTAACGGATCTTACCGAAGACCGCGCGCTCCGCCCAGCCCTGGTCGTGCACCCCGCAGATAGACCACATGCAACCTGCAACCAATTATACTATGTTGAAAAAAATGCATGAACCTGCGTCATATGACCGTAAAAAAAATAGTTAATAAAACAAAGATTTTTGTATAAAAATAAAAAGATGTTCAGTTATTAAAACCTAAAACTTACCAACAAATCCATTAGGGTCTCTGCCATCTATACTGTAATGATCATTCAAGTAAATTGCATATTTGAGTGCATCCTCTGGACTCGGCGTCCATTCTAGAATCTTCTTGCACCAGTACATACGAAGGAAGCCATGCATCTTGCCTTCTTTGACTAACTGCAGTTGTGCTGAATTCCACAGTTCGTCATGAGTTTCTGCTTTAGACAGCTGTTCTAATGTGTATATGTGGGTTCGTTTATCTTTTCTGAAACAGAGAACAAGGTATATGTAGCAAGAAGGTAAAAACTAGCAAGTAATTAAAGAAAACTACAAACCTATGATCATCTAGAGTCTTTTGTGCCCAATTACTAGCGCCCTTTATGGTGTCATAATGTTCGTTGTAAAAACAAAAATTGTCAGCCAGTTCTCTACGGACAATCGATTCTTCGAGATAAGCATTCACACTTTCAGTGTACTGTGATTTGTATTTTTGAACACAAAGCGCAACTCTCTGGACTGAAATCTGACCTTTAAAGAAATATGTTTGCAAAACATTAATACCACATGGTGTTCTATGAAGTACAAATAAATTTTTTTGACAGTCTAAAACTCACTTCTATTAAAAAAAAATTATGTACAGTAATATGAAATGAAATTACCAAAATGATACCATGGAGATAGATTACTCAGAGCATCTTGTGTGGGATCATTTCGTTTGGTTGCAAATATCTTCAATCTCTTTTCAAGGAAACTCTTTAATGTCTTCATAGCTTCGTCATAACCTGGACTAGCCCATTCCACCGGTCCTACAGTTTTGTCAGCTTCTCTTGTCTCTATTGCCTTGTCCCAATCTATTGACTATAACATATATAGTTTAAATTACCTAACCAGGTATAAAAAAGAGTTTAGACCGAAACTACACTTTATACCCATTTACTAAGTAATGCATCCAATAAATTACTTTAAATAATAAACGTGCAAAGCAATTTTTATGTAACTGGAATACCGCAAATGGAGATGACTGTACCTCTGGTTTGAATTTGCTTGTATATGGATGCTTAATGACTGGTGGAAACTCAGTTAAATATTCCTCTAACTTAGAATTGATCTTGTTCCTTATAGTTCTTGCAGAATACTCAAGTTTTTCAGAGGCAACCCAACATGGCACCACATTGTGTGCATCCACCTAGAATAAGTCAGATGTTACTCAAAATTATTTTACAAAATAAAGTGATTTTTTTTCTATTCAATGATAAATAAATAGTGTCTTTTCATATTAATTAAACATAACAATGTGTAACTATTTGTATTTTTTTATTTAAATTATGTTAATGTTCAAGTTCTTAAAAAATTTATTTAAATGAAATAAAAATTACCTGTATTAAAGGTACATCTTTTTTAAATTTTTTCTTAGCTCCTTCCAGCCAACTCATAGGTGTTCTCAGGGGGTTGAAGTCACACACAACTGCCCCAATCTTATGGTCAATAATCCACTGTGGCAGCGCATCTGCACCACTTCCTTCCAGGAGATGGAAAGATATATTTAACTTTTTACATTCGGTGGCAACTTTTTCTAGGCCTATAAAGTGGGGTACCATAAATGTATGATTATAATTAACATAGCTCAGATATTTGTGATTAATTAAGCTATTATGTTATTTATTTATGCCAAGTGACTTACACCGTCTACATATATTACCTTTAATTAAGAAATGAAATTGTCTCACAGAGGCATCTAAATATTTCGCAATCAAACAAAAACATACATGAAGTGGGACTTCATTCTTAAGAGCTAATTTTTGCGCATACAAAAACGCCCAGTTGTCTTGAACTCTGCTGTCCCTTGACATCCAATAAACAATGCCCTCGCAATAGTCAGGCACAAGTTGTTCTTGTGATATTATACGCACGCGCTTCTTGTTAAAAACAAAATTAGTTATTGAGTCTGCTGTAGCTTCCCGACTATTTTGTATTTCATTCATAAATTCAGCTACAGATGTTTGGGTCCGTTTGTTTTCAACATTAGAAGTTCCCGCAGATAACTTTATTTTTTTCGCAGCTGAAGCCATTTTCCTGATTGTACAAAATGAAAGAGAAAATACTGTATTCATAAATGTATGTAAGATAATCTTCCTTTTATAAAATACTTAAAATATTTGTCTGATTTGTAATTCATAACATCGGTTTTAATATTTTACGCGCGTTTCAAGATAAACTTATAAAATTTGACACTTCGCTGACAGCTGACACAGCAGTTGTACAAATGTCTATTTGACATTATACGAAGGGTGGCCATTACTCTAAAATTTTGATGCCAACTGAGTGTAAAACATTCTAACCAAAAAAACTGCAAAAAACACATACAATACTATTGATGTAAAATGAATATGTGTACTTAACACAGGATTTGTAACACATAGGGATTGGCGTATGACGGATTTCCATTTAGCAGAATAAAGACACACTTAAACGACTTCTACATTCATGCATGATGCACCTATATAATAGCCATGCGCGATGGTTGTATGGGCACTCTAACTTTATTACTTTAGATTAAAGCAATAAAACAAAAATCAGTACTAACTTTATAGCACAAATAACTAATTGTAACTACAGGTACTTGATTAAAACAATTAACATTATTGTAAACATTTTATTAGGGACATAACATGATTTTTTGTACAACAGCTATTTTAACCCTTAAATGGACAATGTTGTTTTTAAACAACATACTAAACATCACAGATAAAATTATCTTTATTTTATTTTTTTGTTAATTTTGACAACTAGTTCTTATTTCTAAAAAAAATAGTAAATTCATGTCTAGATTTTTTTACTCATTTTTCCTAGACAGTAATACATGTCTATTACACAAATATATTTTTTTAAAACGTAAAAAAAAAATCGTCCATTTAAGGGTTAATAATTACTATGTTAAACCCATTAAATGGCACTAACGCTACATAAGACTTATAATGAGGTAGATTCATATTACATTTTAAAAAGTGCTAAAGCAGTAAGTAAACTATACAACAATGGTATAATAACAGTAAAAACATAATTATTTTGTTCACAACCATAACTGAGATTAATATTGCTTAATTTGTTTAAAAAATATAAACAGTACTTAGTTTATTACAGTATTGTATATAAAATGTGTCGAGCGGAGTATTATTTTTTATAACATGTTCTTCTCAATATTACATACTTTTTATTAATACATTAGGACTAATTACATAACAGTGCCCTTTTTCACGAAAATAAACCAACATCAATGAGTTGAGTAATCTGATTGAATCATCTGTTATATTATAATAAATGTATGTTTCCTATTCACTTAATTCTTAAAGTACCGTCATCAAAACATATAAGAACACATAGTGGTATTATATGTATTCTTGTCTACTTCGCAGCAATATATTTATGTTTCTTTCCTCCATATTTCTCCACAAAGGCGTTGACGTCAAACTTTCGTTTGCAGTAGTCATAGCTTATGTACCTTACCTTACCAAATACCGCGCGCTCTGTCCAGCCGTGATCATGGACCCCACTTATTGACCACATACAACCTGTAATATATATTTTTTTAGATGTCAACAAACAAGCAACCATTTTATAATAGTAAAAGAATGTGTGTGGTGTCCCTAGATACTATCATTAATTTATTTATCAAGGCAAAAGATTTATATTTTTTACATGTAACAAATAAACACAAAATCTACTAGACTTATTAATAACATTCCTATGGCATTAGAAAGCTACAGTATCACTGAGGGACATAGATTATATTTTCACCATTTTTTTTAATAAAGTTGTCTAGATTAGTAAAAAGTTTACAAATGCAATCCCGACTTAATACTAATTTATCATTTTAAGTACAATAATGTCTAATTACCAGCATATCCATTAGGGTCTCTTCCATCTATACTGTAATGATCATTTAAATATATTGCATATTTGAGTGCATCCTCTGGACTCGGTGTCCATTCTAGAATCTTCTTGCCCCAGTACATGCGCATAAAGCCATGCATCTTGCCTTCTTTGAGCAGCTGCAGTTGTGCTGAATTCCACAGTTCGTCATGAGTTTCTGCTTTAGACAGCTGTTCTAATGAGTATATGTGGGTTCGTTTGTCTTTTCTGAAAAAGAAAATGAGATAATAGTAGCTTATAAATGATATTCATAATTTTTAAAAGAAGTTCATTTGAGTAACTCAGCTTTCAGCAAACTGGCAGGATTGTCAAATAATAAAAATGTGTACCCTGAAAATATACAAACCTATGATCTTCTAAAGTCTTCTGAGCCCAGTTATAAGCACCTTTAATATCATCATAATGGTCGCTATAAAAGCAGAAGTTGTCTGCTAACTCTCTATGAGAGACTGCTTCTTCCATGTACAGTTTTACACTCTCTTCATATTGAAATTGATAGTTTTGAACATAAAGAGCTACTCTTTGTACTGAAATTTGACCTAAGAATTTTTTTTATATTTGTTAGAAAGTACAAAAGAGTGAAACAAGTACTATTTACTCATGTACTGATCTTGAGAAAAAACGAAAAATAATACAATACCAAAATGAAACCATGGTGATAGATTGCTCAGAGCATCTTCTGTGGGGTCATTACGTTTGTCAGCAAAGATCTTTAATCTCTTCTCAAGGAAACTCTTTAATGTCTTCATAGCTTCATCATAACCTGGATTGGCCCACTCTATTGGTCCCACTGTCTTGTCAGCTTCTCTAGTCTCAATTGCCTTGTCCCAATCTATTGCCTAAAAAATGGAATTAAAAAAGTATAAGTCATAATGACTTGGAATGTGTTGCAATATTTTCATTTAATTAAATATTAATTTAAAATTTCAAGATCAAACTTGAAATCATTTTGAAATCGGATAGAAAATATACCTCTGCTGTAAAGTTGCTTTCATAAGGATGCTCAATTAAAGGTGGGAACTCAGTAAGATATTCCTCTAGCTTGCCATTGATTTTAGTTCTTATGTTCCATATTGTATACTCCTGCTTCTTTGAAGTTACCCAGCAAGGCACTATATTGTGTGCATCTACCTGAAAATTAATTAAATCCTTATACTTGGAAATAAATAGGCAGTTTGATGTAATCAAAATAGTGATTGTATTTAACCTGAACTAAAGGTATATCCTCTTTCAACTTCCCCTTCAATTCTTCAACCCATTTCATTGGTGTCCTCAGAGGAAGAAAGTCACACACAACTGCCCCAATCTTTTTGTCAATAACCCATTGAGGCAAGACATCGGGAGCATTTCCTTCTAGTAAATGGAATGGTATATTTAAATTATTACACTCTTCTGCAACTTTTTCTAAACCTAAAAATAAGAGAATATGTTAAGTAACATCTAATTAGTTAAAGTGTAACTTCAATAGGGATATTAAAATACAAAACTTGATATTACCTTTCATCAAAAAGTGAAGCTGTCTCAATGAAATATCTGAAGTTTTTGCACTTAAACAAAAACAGACATGTAGGGGAACCTGGTTCTTAAGAGCGAGCTTCTGCGCGAAAAGAAATGCCCAGTTGTCCTGAACTCTACAGTCTCTCGACATCCAATAAACAATACCTTTACAATAGTCAGGCACAAGTTGTTCTTGAGATATTATACGGACGCGGTTTTTATTAAAAGCAAAATCCAATATAGAATCTGCGGTATTTTCTCGCTTTTTTTGTATTTCATTTATAAAATTGGTAAGATCTGTTTTCGTTATTTTACATTCAACTTTTGGTTTTGAAGTTGCCGAAGACAACTTTTTTCTTTTAGCAGCAGTTGACATTTTTAAAGCTCAGAGCTTTGAGTATTTGCAAAAAAATTACCTTTCTTTTAAAATGTTCCTTTACCTCTTTGTATCAGACTTTATCGATGTTAATCCATTACAAATATTTGTAATTAATAATTTTATACTTTGCCCGTTACCCGCGTTTTATAAAAGAAATAGCAGTTAACGTCAATGTCACGTTTTAAAGCAGTGTTACCATAGTTCTTAATAACCTAATTAATTCACCAACCGAGCAGAGGCGAGGCACCTTTTTTAATAAGTACCATCTTAGCAAGCAGGCTGCCGCCTGAATTCGACGTATCGGTGAAGCGGCCGCTGCTCAGAGACATCTGTAATTGTAGATGCCTTACCTATATTTAACCGCCAGAGAAAAGGCACAGAAAGAGAATATTTCCCCTTCCAATACTCTTCCATCAAATCCACTTCCTCTTTTTTTCCTTTTCTTATAAGGTGGAAATATATTTGACCATTCTCAGAATGGATATCTGGATTTATTATTACAGGAAAAATAAATGAAACTTAGATTCTAGGGTTACAAGATGGCGTAACATTTTAATGGTAATAGCAATTCATATTACATTTAATATAAGCTAGATATCGCTTTTTTATACTTTCACATTCCTCCTTAACATTAATTTTCTATGTTATGTACAAGACAATCTAACCGTCATAAATATTCATCAAGATATGTGTATAATTGTATATTTCTAAAAAATTAAAATGTTTCTTATTTATAGCACCTGTTATTTTATTTCTGTATAACGTTGGACAAAAGCATCAACATCAAACTTTCGTCTGCAACCATTACAGTTCATGTACCTTACTCTACCAAACACTGGCCTGTCCACGCAGCATTTATCAAGAAGACCACATATTGCAACCATACAACCTGGGAAATTAAGGTCAATATTTAGGATTATTATTACTAATTATACATGAACATATCTTTTTTTTTATGTTTGTGCATAAATGCCATATATTGAATTTAACAAGTAAAATATACATTTACATGTAAATCTGTACCAACCTGCATACCCATTAGGGTCTCTGCCATCTATACTGTAACAATCATTCAAGTGAATTGCAAATTTCAAAGCATCCTCTGGGTTTGATGTCCATTCTAGAATCTTCTTTGCCCAATATAGTCGTAGAAATCCATGCATTTTGCCCTCTTTGACCAATTGCAATTGAGCTGAATTCCAAAGGTCTTCATGGGTTTTGGCAGCAGACAACTGTTCTAAAGTGTAATTGTGTGTTCTTTCATCATCTCTGAAGTAGAAATTTTAGTTTTAGGGATAATGGTTAGTAGCCGAAGCTTAACATAATCAATTAGTAAAAAATAATGCATACCTATGTTCACTTAAACTCTTTTGAGCCCAATTATAGGCACCTTTCAAACTGTCATAATGTTCATTATAAAAGCAGAAATTTTCTGCTAGTTCTCTACGTACAATAGCCGCATCAAAGTAAGCATCAACATTTTCTTTGTACATCGATTTGTATTTCTGAACACACAGTATAACTCTTTGGTGCGATATATGACCTGTAAGTTGTGATTATTTTTAACATGTAAATAAAAAAAAAGATACAGTATTTCAATATAATTACCAAAATGAAACCAAGGTGATAAATTGCTTAATGCATCTTGTGTAGGATCATTTCGTTTTGTGGCGAAAATCTTAAGTCTCATTTCTAGGAAATTCTTTAACATCTTCATGGCTTCTTCGTAACCTGGACTGGCCCACTCTATTGGTCCTACAGATTTGTCAACTTCGGTGGCCTTAATAGCTCCATCCCAGTCTATAGGCTACAGACAATATACTTTTTTATAGAACTAGTATTAAAAAAAAATTCTAACATAATTTACTTCAAGTACATAAATAATTACCTTTGGATCAAAGTTTCTAGTATAAGGATGCTTGATTACCGGTGGAAACTCAGTTAAGTATTCATCTAATTTGGAATAAATTTTATTTCTCATACCCCACACTGTGAGCTCCTGTTTTTCAGAGGCTATCCAACAAGGTATTATGTTATGTGCATCCACCTGGTATAAACATACAAATATTACTATAACTAATTTTAGCAGTAAATTGAATACATCCAAGTTACATCTCTTAACAGACTTTTGTTAGATAGGTCGACATTTGCCAATGTGCTACATATTTAAATGTAAAATGTGTATTATGATGTGGAGGAGCACATTGCACAGCAAGCAAATAACCTTGAGTCTCCATCATTTTTGAAAAGGACTTTACATTCAAAATAATAAACACTAACCTGAACTAAAGGCACATCTTTTTTAATTATCTTTTTAACTTCTTCAAGACAGTTCTTTGCTACTTTTAGAGGACAGAAATCACACACTACTGCACCAATTTTGTGCTCAATTATCCATCTTGTTAGTACATTGTTATCATTACTTCTTAATAGATGGAATGATATATTTAATCTTTTACATTCTTCGGCAACTCTTTCTAATCCTGAAATTTAAAATTATGAGAAATTTAGTGCCATAAAATTAAAAGGTTAGACCTTAAATAGCTATTTATTTGGTATTTATACCTTTTATTAAAAAATGTAACTGTCTCATAGATAAATCTAAATATTTATCAAATAAACAATAGCATACATGTAGAGGAACTTCGTTTTTAAGAGCAAGTTTCTGCGCAAACAGAAATGCCCAGTTGTCTTGAACTCTGCAGTCTCTCGACATCCAATAAACAACACCCTCGCAATAATCGGGTACAAGCTGTACTTTTGATATTATACGAACTCGTTTTTTGTTAAAATCATAATTCAAAATTGAATTAGCAGTATCTTCCCGTTTCTTTTGTATCTCATTCATAAAATCTGATAACGTTGGTTTTGTGGTTGTATTTTCAATGTTTGATGATGCCAGTTTCCTTTTCTTTGCCGCCGAAGGCATCGTATAGCTTTGGATTCACTGATTTTTTTATTAATTTACAGTTGTAATATGTAATTTGTTTCAATTTTACATTAAGGCTTGAATTTCGGCATAAAATATCATAATATTGCCCCTTGCCGCCTTTTTGGAAGTCAATGTCATTTGTCAATGACAGAATTGTAAAGTTAAAATGAATATAGATTATACAGTAGAGTAAAAAACAATCCTGCTCCTTCAACCTCTAGTTCACAGCTTCAGGTTAGTATCGATGATTATTTTAAAAAAGCAATTGCTCACTAACACATACAATGCATAATTTGTCATCTACCAATATAATATATAAATAGAAAATAAAAGAACATTTTGTGATCAACGTTTTATTTTTAAGTTTGATTTTTGCTATGTAGAAATATTTCGTTTTCTTTGATGTCGTTTTACTAACAGAATTTGTTACATGCGAAAACTCATCTCAGAAAAGGCTATGCTACTTATCCTTAAAACATATTTACAGAAAAAATATTTTTGTAGAAAAATTATTAAATCATTTATCTTTTTGTAGATACTCTTTCAATTGACTGCAATAATAACTTATTTGTAGTATATAGCAAATACACCATTACTGTAATGTCCTTAATTTGTGCAATAAATTAAATTACTTAGCAGCAATGTACTTGTGTTTCTTTCCTCCATAGTGTTCAACAAAAGTGTCAATGTTGAATTTTTTCTTGCATCCATTATAATTCATGTACCTAACTTGACCAAATACTGCTCGTTCTACAAAATTCGTGTCGTGTATACCACATATTGACCGCATACATCCTGCAAAAGAGCTAAAGTTAGAAATTCTAACTATCTATGGAATCCAGATTCAGAGACACAGCTTAATTTTAATCTTAGTAATATAATAAACGCGAACGTTTAGATGGAGGGATAGATGGGCTCAACAGATCTCGGTGAAATTGGCATAAGTGTAGAACATAGTCAAAGCTTTTTTTTAATTCCGCGCAAACGGAGTCGAGGGGGACAGCTATTGTGCATTACTTACCAGCATACCCATTAGGATCTCTGCCATCTATACTGTAATGATCATTCAAGTAAATTGCATATTTGAGTGCATCCTCTGGACTCGGCGTCCATTCTAGAATCTTCTTGCCCCAGTACATCCGGATAGAGCCATGCATCTTGCCTTCATTTACAAGCTGTAGTTGTGCAGAGTTCCAAAGCTCATCATGAGTTTCTGCTTTGGCAAGTTGTTCTAATGTATAAATGTGTGATCTTTTATCATTCCTAAAATTAGTTATAAAACTTTACTTACTAAATTTGTTTAAATTTTGATAATCTTAGTGATACAAAAAGAAATAACAAACCTATGTTTATCTAAAGTTTTCTGTGCCCAATTATCAGCTCCATTTAAATTGTCATAATTTTCACAGTAAAAACAGTAGTTGTCAGTCAATTCGCGCCGAACAATAACTACTTCCAAGAATGCATTCACACTCTCCATATATTGTATTTTGTATTCTTGGACACATAGAGCAACTCGTTGTGCTGAAATCTGACCTGTTATAAATATGTACAGTTTTTTTAAGTTAGTTATATTGATATTATGTGGTAAAAGCTTTGAAAGTAAAAAAAATATTACCAAAATGAAACCATGGTGATAAATTGCTCAGAGCATCTTCTGTAGGGTCATTTCGTTTGTCAGCAAAGATCTTTAATCTCTTCTCAAGGAAACTCTTTAATGTTTTCAAAGCTTCATCATAACCTGGATTAGCCCACTCTATTGGTCCCACTGTCTTGTCAGCTTCTCTAGTCTCAATTGCCTTGTTCCAGTCTATCGGCTATAACCAATTGAAAACTTGAATAGCAATGCAATCCAGACATTTATTATTGATATATGTATTATTCTAAGCATTACAAATATTTTGTATGGAACAGTAGTAATAAAAATGGTTAAGGTGACAGAAAGAACATGGCTATATGTGACAAAAGGTTACATCTTTACCTAATTACATATACATGTAACCTTTTCATTGAATGAGTTGATATCAAGTAAATAGAAAGTAAGGTATCTTTTGCCACTTTTACTAAAAAAAAAAATCATTACCTCAGATTCAAAACTGCTTGTGTATGGATGCTTTATAACTGGTGGGAACTCAGTCAAGTATTCATCTAGCTTGGAATTAATTTTACATCTCATACTGTATATGGTGTGGACCTGTTTGTCT